CTCATGAGTACACTGTGAATACTTCAGTCAGAGTGCATCTCAGGAGCAGAGTGAGTACTTCAGTGTTAGAGTGAGAGTATCTCATGAGTACACTGTGAACACTTCAGTCAGAGTGCATCTCAGGAGCAGAGCGAGTACTTCAGTGTTAGAGGGAGAGTATCTCATGAGTACACTGCGAATACTTCAGTCATAGCAGTTAGTTCAGGAGTACAATGTGAGTAGTTCAGTAAGAGTCTAAGTATCTTATGGAGTAGTGTGCAATTATCTCATGAGTACACTATGTGTCCTTTAGTCATACAGAGTAAATAGTTCAGGAGTATACTGCGAGTACTTTCATAGGGTGCGAGTATCTCAGGAGCAGGGCGTAAGACTCTCAGGAGTACTTCTGTCATAGTGCGCGAGTATCTCAGGAGTACACTGTGAGTATTGTATTCATAGGATGTGAGTATCTCAGGAGCAGGGCGCGAGACTCTCAGGAGTACACTGTGAATGCTTCAGTCATAGCAGTTAGTTCAGGAGTACAATATGAGTAGTTCAGTCATAGTCTAAGTATCTTATGGAGTAGTGTGCAATTATCTCATGAGTACACTATGAGTCCTTTAGTCATAGAGAGTAAATAGTTCAGGAGTATACTGTGAGTACTTTCATAGGGTGCGAGTATCTCAGGAGCAGGGCGTAAGACTCTCAGGAGTACTTCTGTCATAGGGCGCGAGTATCTCAGGAGTACACTGTGAGTATTTTATTCATAGGATGTGAGTATCTCAGGAGCAGGGCGCGAGACTCTCAGGAGTACACGCGAGTACTTCAGTCTTAGGGCGTGAGTATCTAAGGAGCAGGGTGCGAGTATCTCCGCTATAGTGGCGAGGCAGACTGACCCGGGGCGAAGCTGGTCTTGCCACAGAAGCGCACCACGCCGGTCCTCTGCCCCACCACCAGCACTCGCTCCCCCAGCTGCACCTCCGGCTCCTCCGACACCACGCTGCTCGCGGACGGAGTCCTGGGCCCGGGACCTGGGGGACAGAGCGCTGAGCCTCAGTGACGGGAGATTAGAGACAGAGGCCTGAAACGGTGGCTCAACAGCTGAACCACGCGGTCGTGCAGGGCGACAGTGACCCAGGGGTGTGTGGGACACAGTGCAGGGCGACAGTGACCCAGGGGTGTGTGGGACCCAGTGCAGGGCGACAGTGACCCAGGGGAGTGTGGGACCCAGTGCAGGGCGACAGTGACCCAGTGCAGGGTGGGACACAGTGCAGGGCGACAGTGACCCAGTGCAGGGTGGGAC